TGCCACATCTGCCTTCCTTGTGAGGAGTTATGAGGTACTGCTGGAAAAATAAAGCCATCCAGACTGCAACAGAAGAGGAGGAGCGAGAGGAGGAATAACATCATATCCATCTTGAAGGTCTTAATCGAAACCCAGGGACTAATTAGAAGTCCTGAGAGGCTTTGGAGGGAAAAGTAGGAATTCTTTTAGATTGGCTTGGGTTGAGGTTAGCTCTGGAGCTGTGTGAGAGGCAGGACAGAGCAGGGGCAGGGTGGGAAGCTGTGCACACAGAAGGTGGACCTTGCAGGCTCTTGTGGCGATGAGTTTTCCTGGTGTAAGGAAACCCATCAACTCCCCCCCCAGCCCCTGAGGGAACTCCAGCAGCCTCATTGCCTCCCACTGACCTTTCCAGCAAGGCTCGTTGGCCAGCTCTGCACCGAGCCCAAGGCTCAAACCATTGCTGAAGACAACTGAGCAGAGAGAGCAGCAGCTAACGTGCCTTGGCATCACAGCTCCACCAGGACTGTGCTGCCCTCAGAGGCATTGCAGGCTCCGAGTTCCTTTATGGGTCTGTTTCCATGCCAGCCCAGAGGCACTTAGCTCCAGCTCTGCCACCAACCTGTTCTTCCAGGGTATGTGTAATCACCTCATTACCATGCCAGGCGAGGGAGTTTCACCAGGCACTGAACCCCCCCGGCGACTGCTCGGTGCCCCAAGGTCTGAATATGGAATTTGGGTGCATCGTGAGCTGTCCCCCCTCACTTGGGGCACCTTGGAGATCATGCTCCATAACACGAAAGGAAACTTCACTTTCTAGATGTTGAGAGATGCTGACTGTTGCCTAAAAGTTTCTGCTGGATGGCTGGCTTAGGGATGCTGCGGTGGGTTGGACATTCTCTATCTGGAGGTAGCAGTGGAGGATGAACTTCAGCTTCATGCACAGCTGTCACTTGCTCCACTGCACTGCCACCCAGTAGACTCACAGCCCTGATCAGCTGCCTGTTTCCTCCTATCCCCAATTTGGGTACACTGTTAACAGCACTGATAGGCCAGCAAGGCTCCTGCTCTTCTACAGACTCACTGGTTTTAATGTGATGAGAACAGCAACGTCCAACCCCTCACCTCTGCCCCAGAAGCAGCCACCTCCACACAGCAGCAGCTGCATTTTGGGATCGGGTGTTTGGTCTTGTTGGAAGGGACCTTAAAGGTCATCTAGGTCCAACCTCCCTGCCCTGGGCAGGGACACCTCCCACTTCTTCACCTGTAATGTCAAGCCACCGTGGGTTAGTGATGAGGATGCTGCAGCTCCTGGGCCAACAGCTGCCTCTCAGCAGAAGCTGAAGCACCTGATTTGGTCCCATTCCCACTGAGACCAGCCCAGTGTGTGCAGAGCCCAAGCCCTTTGCCAGTTTGGGACTGGTTTACCTCCATAACCCACCACAGCAGGTAGGCAGCAGTGCAAGGAGACCAGCAACTCCACCTGACTGAACCAAGCCCTCACAAATAAAAACCCCCAGGAGCAGAGGTGGGAGGAGCCATCCTTCCAGCCACAAATGGCATTTCTCTCTGACTCAGCCCAATTACCCTGATTGCTCTTTGATGAACTCCACAGCAAGGTTTGCTCACTTCCACCCTCCTCACACCACACCCATGTGAAGGAGAAACAATCCCATGTGTTAGAAGCTGGAGTTAGATATAAACCAACCTTCCACTGTGGCCTTTTTTGTGCAGCCCCTCAAGTCAGATGTGCTTCAGTTGCCACTCTTTATTTTTCCCCTCCTAGCTCTGTGTGTAATCCTAACAGCAACATCCAGTTTTGCTGTGTTACTCACAGAGCACTCACCCTGTGTGTGGCCCAAAAGAAAAGGGATTCCTGAAGACATTTTCCTCCAGGATTAAAAAGAAATGTAACTTCCAGCCTTGTCTTGGAGCTGAAATAAACCCCAACGGCTCCTTTCCAGGTACAATAATAAACTGAGGTCTCCTCTGATGTAAATGTTTAGATGTTCATCCCTTCACAGGGAGAGGGACAAAAGCAATGGTCAGATGGATGCCAAAGGAGTCACTGGGTTTTATCTGGGTGTTAATACATTGAAAAAGGTACCTGCTGCTCTCTGAGCATGGCAGGCAAGAGGAACTACTCTTAAGACACTGCTGGAGTTCCTTGGTTCCTAGTTTTCCACCAGGTTTTAGCCCCATGCCTCCTCTTGGCTATCAGTTCAGGGAAGGTCCCTTCACCAGTGTCTGCCCACCTGCAAAATACCTTCCTCTTTAAGGCACTTTTGGACCCTACACAAGAAAACTGACCAGAAATCTGAGCCAGCAACCCTGAACAGGCTTCAGGGGGTGTTCAACCAATGCTCAGAGGTGCAAGAAGGACACTGAGGGGCTGGAGCATGGCCAGAGAAGGGCAACGAAGCTGCTGGGGAAGGGTCTAGAGCCCAAGTGTGGGGAGGAGCAGCTGAGGGAGCGGGGGGTGCTGAGCCTGGAGCAAAGGAGGCTCAGGGGAGACCTTCTGGCTCTGCACAGCTCCTGACAGGAGCCTGGAGCCAGGTGGGGGTCGGGCTCTGCTCCCAAGGAACAAGCCACAGGACAAGAGGAAACAGCCTCAAGTTGCCCCAGGGGAGGTTTAGGCTGGATGTGAGGAACAATTTCTTGCCCTTGAGGGTTGCCCAGGGCTGTGCCAGGCTGCCCAGGGCAGTGGTGGAGTCCCCACCCCTGGAGGGGTTTAAAAGAGGTGCTCAGGGACATGGTTCAGTGACTGCTTTGGCAGGGCTGGGTTAACAGTCAGATTCAATGATCTTGAAGGTCTCCTCCAACCAAGCTGATCTGTGACCTCAAGGTCCTGTTGCAGTTTGGTATAAAAGGATCAGAGTTTGCACTTCCTCAGACCATGGCAGAGCCCATCACATCCTCACCTCCTCTTTAGGCACTCTCTGGTAGCCATAATCAGCCAGCCCCACCTCAGGGAGAAGTTTTACCTTTTCTCAGATGTTTCATTTGCTCAACCACCACGTGAGGGCTTCCAAGGCACATTTACACCAGTAAGAGCTGGGCTGGGGTGTCCCAGGTCAGCCCAACCTCACAGCAGAGCAAGGACAGCCCTGGGGAGCCAACATCTTCCCTACAACCCACCCTTCCAAAGCCTCCTCCCCCTCAGCTGCAGGAACAGCTGCTGTGCCTCTCACAACTGGCCCAGCCTGGCTCACAGGTTCCTTGGAAGCCCAACTTTCCCAGTCTATACCTTCTCCAGTCATGCTCAGCTTGGCACAGAGCACAACCAGGGCTACGTTCCAGAGCCCTTGAGGAAAAGATGAGAGGAAAAACCTCAGATCATCACTGCATGCACTCCAACTGATCTGATGCATCCAGCTCCCCCATCCAACAGTCTCTCTACCAGAGAAGAAGGTGGGAGAATCCTTCCCCGTGGCTGCAGCAGCACTGTATGAAACCATCCTTCATCCTTGGCACTGCTGCAACCTGGCTTTACCTCAGGGAAAAAGAGATTTCAAGGTATCTGCATTTGAAAAGGAAAAAACCCAATAAATTATAAAGCACATCTGGCAAAAAGCAGGTGTTCCCCTCTCTGCTTGTGCCTTGGGAATGGAGTCCTGTCCACAGAGGCTGCTGTTTTAAAACCACTATTTTCCCAACAAAAATAAGGAATCATAAAAAATATAATAAAAGCAAAACCTGCAAATGCAACTCAGTGGCAAATTCCTCAAAATTTTGCACAGAAAACCACGGGCAGCACACACAGACAAAGGATCAAATGCCCAGAAAAGATCCAAGTGCTGTCAACCACCCCAGGTGACAGGACAACGGGTCAGCTGATGCTGTTTGCCCAGGAAGGCCTCTGCATTCCTCACTAGATTGCCAATAAATGGGTTGTTTTCTCCTCTGGCCTCTTATCCCACATGGAAAGCACCTCCCTGTCAAACATGGTTTTATCTTGACAATTAAATCACATTAGCAGCCTGCTCTGTTTAATCTTCATTATATCATCAGCCTCACAGAACCCAGCCCTGGTCTCTGAGAGCTGTTTCCCTGGTGATGCCCCTGCCACAGCAACCCCCTGGCACCTCGGGTGTTGCTGCAGGAGGCCAGTTGGTGCCTGCTGCTGCCACCTCAGCTCATGACTTGTTGTTGCTGCAGCAGACACTTGTATCCCATCTGCTGTCCCCACAGACCACAGCCCTGCTCTGCTGGAGAAAGTGATGCCTTGAGAAGGGCTGAGACAGGAAGCAAGAGTGAAGAAAATACTAATCCTTCAGGATTGTCAGCCCACTGCCTCCTGTCCCCACAGCTCCAGCAGGTCTCAAGGTAGGACATTTCACTGCTCATAAAAAGCTGGCTTGTAGGACAAACTGCTTTCTTGGCCAACATGTGAGAAACTGAACGTGGAGACTCCACAAGCAAAGGCAAAACTTACTACAGCTAACATTAAAAAGAGACTTCTACCATTACATGCATCAGGGGGTACAGTGGTTCTCCTACAGATGAGGTAGGAAAGGATTCCAAGGTTTCTCCAGGCAGTGCAGACATCTCAGAGCTGCTGGTGCATCTTACAACCACCACCTGCACATTTCACAGTAGAAAAGCCAGGGATTAATTGAGATAACCAAAGCAATGTAGCCAAAAAGTTTATTGTAGAAACCCTTGGAGACAGGTTCTAGTCCCAACCAAGGTAGGGAATCAGAACCAGTGAACCATTGTGATGTGCAGCTTGTCTTGACAGACTCAAAACAACTTTTGAACAAAAATATGACAGTATTGCATACACCAGCCTCAGGGGAACAAGTGCTTGGACAGCAATCCTGTTCCTCAAGACCCTCCCAGGACCCCCAGGGCAGCAACAGCACACCATGTGTGTGCCCATGAGTGGGCCTGTGGAGACTGGGCAGCCCAGAGCAGCCCAAGCTGGTGTGCCAGGATGCCTTCTGGCAGATCCCTGCTGAGCTCTGGGGGGTCACCACTGCTCCCAGCGTGTTTCTTCACTCGTGGAACAGCCCCCACAACACCTAGACTGAATCTTCATAGAAAGTCTTTGCCATGGCATGTGCCACTTTCAGCACCTTCTTCTCCTTGGCATCTGGGCCCATGTTGCTGCGGGCCAGTTTAACCCAGTACTGCTCTGTCCTGGCCAGGTAGTCTGTGTGCTGCTCCTCAGGCTCAACAGATGGGTGTTGCTCCTCTCCTGGTACACGATGGGAAGAAGACAGAAAGGGAGGTCACAGACAGCTAAGGCAGGCAGTCTGCTCTTCTGTGAGTCAGCCTGAGCAAGGCTGCTCTTCAGCTAACCTTTTCATTTAACAGCCTAGCAGCAAGCAGTGAAAGGTCTCCTCCTCCAGCACTGCGTGGAGGAACACTGCTTTTGCTGGAAAACTCACCCAGATTCCAGTGAGGCCCTCCAGGCTGCAGTGGAACCAGGAGGTGTTGTACCAAAATGCACTTTCTATTGCTATGAAGACAACGTTTGTACTGATCATTACCTCCCTCATCTTCACTCTCCTCTTCAGAGCTCTCCTCTTCCTCTTCACCTCCCTCTGCACCCTCTGTATCATCATCCTCTTCGTCTGACTCTGACTCCTCCAGCCATTCTTGTGCCTCTTTGATGAGAAAGAAAACAGAAGAAATAACTAACAAGCTGTTTCCCACTCCTACACCCAGAACTCCCATGGAGGATGCCAGGGCAAGCTCAGGCAGAGGTGCTCCCTAACATCCCTGCTGTATTTCCACCCACTGCACAGGGCCTGGCCCCAACAGGGAGCACCTAGTGCACCCTCCTGCAGGGAGCAGGGACTTCTGCAACCATAGCAGGGTGCTCAGAGCATCATCCAACCTCCCCTGGAATGGTTCCAGGGATGGGGCAGCGACCACCTCTCTGGGCAGCCTGGGCCAGGGGCTCACCACCCTCAGCAGCAAAAAATTCATTCTCTCTAGTCTAAATGTTTATGGTTGGACTTGATGACCTTCGAGGTCTTTCCCAACCTTATTGATTCTATGATTCTAAATCTCCCTTTTTTAGTTTAAAACCATCATTCCTCGTCCTGTTGCAACAGACCCGGCTAACAGTCTGTCCCCAGCTTTCTGCTAGGCCCCCTGGCAGCCCGGGCAGCCCCCAGGGGGTCTCCCCAGCTGGAGCCTTCTCCTCTGTGGCTGCCCCAGCCCAACTCTCTCCTGCTGGGCTCCCAGCAGAGGGGTTCCCCCCTCGGGGCATTGCTGGGGCTCCTCTGGCCCCGCTCCAGCAGGTCCCTGGCTCTGCTGTGCTGAGGACTCCAGAGCTGCCCCAGCACTGCAGGGGGGATCTGAACCATGCAGCCACTGCCATAAGAGATATGTTGCTCTAGGACAGATCCAGTTTCTTTCAATAATGAGTAGAAAAATCCACCAAATGCATTCTCACTGAGGTCCCTCAGATAATGCTTTCTGCATTTGTCTGCATGGCTTGGTTTTCAGAGCAGACAGACCAGATCTCACACTCTACAGTGATCCCAAGGCTTCTGCAGCAATGGTGACCCTAAGACACTGCATATCACATACTCACAAGTTTTTCTGGGTCTAGGAGACACTACTCAAAGGCCCACCACCAGCCCTTGAGGAAGCCCCAGAGCTGTTCTTTTTGCCTAGTGTATTGTTGCTACGCTGAAGACAGAGATCCCACCACCAGAGCTTACTTGGATCCATCTCCACCAGCACCTTCCACTCTTCCATCTTGTGCAGGTCGATGCTGTAGAGGTCACTGAGGGTGAACTGGCGGTCGCCCACCTCAAACATTCCCCCCCACAGGTAGAGGACCCCGTGCTTCACTGCCAGCATGGCATTGGAACGTGGGCACGGCTCCACTCGCTGCCCCAAGGCTCCATCCTCCTCCTCCTCCTCTGATTCTGACCTTTCCTTCTCTTCTGCAGGTCCAGAGATCACCTGTTTGATTGTCATGACAGTGCCATCTTCTGCCACCACCTCTTTGACTATCTCCACAGGGCCTTGGGGAGGTGGCTTCTCCACCTCCTCATCTCCAGCACCCTCTGCCTCAGCCTGTCTGCCGCGTCTTCGCTTCCTCTTCTCTGATTTTGGTCCCTGTTAACAAGAACAGGGGACAGGAGGAGACTGTGTGTCAATTGTGTGGAACTAATAAGTTCATACAAATACTACAGATGCTGCAGGGAGGGAGGGGGAAGAATTCAACTATTTTTCACTACAGTTCTAAGTCTCAAGTGATAGATGCGACCTCCTCCTCAGCATGGATTTGAACCAGCCAGAAAACAAGGAGCAATGAAACTCCTGGAGAACTGGTGTGGAGTTGCTTCCTCTATTCATGGCAGCACGTGCTGAAGGGGCAGAAAACAGTTCTTTTGTTCTCCACAGACACACAGAATCCACTGGGCTGTGGCAGGAGCAAGAGAAAATAACCCACAATTTTCTGAATGGGTGCTATATTACAGTGCATTACCAGGAAGCACTCCAGGTCTCTCAAGTGCTCTATGGAAGAGCTGGAAAACAGTCAGCTAGGAGGGCAGAAGCAAACATCTGAGGGCATGTTTGCTTGTTATTAGGTGACTGACTTCCCTTTTTGAGGAGGAGTCAAAGCCAGCAACAGTGGGGTGGAAAAAAGGAAGTTCAAGCAGGTCATTTGCACCTCACTTCCCCCTTGAGAGTGGTTCAAACAAAATTCAAGATCTGAGCTGAGGGTGATATTTCTGAAGTTCTTACAAGCCAAGGTTAATATTTCACCTCTCTAGTAGCTCATCAACACTGGCAAAGAGGGAGAGTTTTTCTCCCAACACCAGATCTTTTCACATAGCACTTACTGAACCATCTGATGTCAGACTCACACATCTGACCTGGAGCCAGGCTCCAGTAAATCACCTTAACTAGGTTTTCATGCTGCTTTGTTTCATTTTGTGTTACACAACAATGGGACACATGCAGCCTGACTCCCAGAGAAGGGAAGTTGCCTCCTGAACTCTTGCTCTGTGCCCAGCCATCAGGGCTCACGGGCTTCCTCCTCCCTCCCCAGAAGGGTCACAGTCTGCATCACAGAGTGGAAGCAGAGCATGGACAAGGAGCTATGTGGCAGAGGAGGAGAGGGGAAGCCTGAAGTCAGAGAATTTGGTTGGTCTGGCAGCAAAACCCTTGCTGGAGTTGCACATCTCTGGCTTCATTCTACAGCCTCTCCCTCTCTCCACAGTCAGTGGGTCACAGAAGAAAGCAGCAGCCACACCTTGTGGCTCTGCTTCTTGAGTGCCCCAAGTTCTTGCTGAGAAAGCTCCATGGGGCCAAAAAAAGACCCAGAGGACACGTGTCAGATGATGAAGGAGAACGAGCTGAACCTATCTGTGTTATTTTTAAAACAGAACCTTTAGCTGTCCAGGAAACCAGCGGTTTTTCCCCATGTCATAGAAATAAATATCATTGAAGAAGTCCCCTTCGATGCTCTCTTCCTCTTCCTCATCATGCACACCCCCAAAGAGGAGGGATCTGTTATTGGGAGCAGCTGCCACGGAGAAGCCAGACCTGGGAGGGGGCTTCACTCCAGAAGGGTTGAGCCGAGTCCACGCCCACCTCTCTGCTAATGGAGAAATGGAAACATCAGCATCAGCAAAGAGACCCCTGACCATTTTCAGGTGGTCCAAGGTCCTTCAGTACTCCAAGTTCCTCAAAGACCCACTTTGGACAGTCTCAGAACTGCACAGCTCAACTTCAGCCTGACCCTTCTACTACAGCTCTTTGCAAGGAGACCCAACCACGCTTTAAAACAAGGCTCAGCAGTGGGAGGTTTCTGCTCTGCACCCTCCACTCCTGCTCCAATTCTTTCTACTCTGGGTTTACACCAAATCCCTCCAATGGTGGCTGGGAGAAGCACATGCACTGGTTCCTCAAGTTTGTCAAAACAGGAATTTCCAGCGTGGAGAACTCTGAAATCCCAAAGATTCTGTGTTATGAAACAGAAAAGCAGTGATCAAAATGTCCCAGAAAAAAGGAATTTCAAAATGTTAATTCCCTCCCACGTACAAACCCAAAAAAAAATCCCTGAAATACCTTTTCTTTTAGTTTTTCCTGAAGCTGCCTGTGCAGGCCAGAGCTCCTCACAGAGTTACACAAGGAGCCTGGAGACCCTCCACTCTATCTCAGACTGTTCCAGGGCCAACTGGGAGGTGTCAGCCTGGACAATGCTGTGAGCTGGAAGTGATCCTCTGACAAAGTGTAACCCAAACTTCCTCCAGAGCTCTGCCAGTTCCTCAGATGTTTCTCCACCATCTCCAATCCCACCCAGTGTTCCACTGCATCAGATCTAACACTGACATGAGCTCTGAAATCTCAACAGGAGCTTGGAACCACAACTCCTCACAGCCTTCAGCTAACCACAGAGTTTTGCTCAGTGAGGCAGACACAGCCCCATCTTCTCAGGCTGTAAAACAAGAGCATGAGAAGGGGACAGAACAGCACCACCAAGGTCTCCCCTCCCTTTGCAGAGCACAGCAGGGAAGAATTCTGCCTGCACAGGTGACCACAATATCATTGAATACTTTGGGTTGGAAGAGATCATTGAGTCCAACCCTTCCCCAGCACTGCCAGGTCCCCACTGCCCCGTGTCCCTCACACCACATCTCCACGGCTTGGAACCCCCTCCAGGGGTGGGGACTCCACCACTGCCCTGGGCAGCCTGGCACAGCCCTGGGCACCCCTCCAGGGCAAGAAATTGTTCCTCAGCTCCAACCTCACCCTCCCCTGGGGCAACTTGAGGCTGTTTCCTCTTGTCCTATCTCTTGTTCCTTGGGAGCAGAGCCCGACCCCCACCTGGCTCCAGGCTCCTGTCAGGAGCTGTGCAGAGCCAGAAGGTCTCCCCTGAGCCTCCTTTGCTCCAGGCTCAGCACCCCCAGCTCCCTCAGCTGCTCCTCCCCACACTTGGGCTCTAGACCCTTCCCCAGCAGCTTCGTTGCCCTTCTCTGGCCACGCTCCAGCCCCTCAAGGTCCCTCTTGGAGGGAGGGTCCCAAAACTGACCTCAGGATTTGAGCTGTGTCCTCCCCACTGCCCAGTCCAAGGGGCAATCCCTGCCCTAGCCCTGCTGGCCAAACTAGTGTTGACACAAGCCAGGATGCTGGTAGCCTTCTTGACTACCTGGGCACGTGCTGGCTCATCTTCAGCTGGCTGTGACCAACACCTCCAGATATGATGGCCTGTCTTCCTTCTACAGCACATGTCAAGAAAAAAGGGGAACATAATTCCTCCAGGATCTCCCTGCAGCTGCTGTTTCCTTCACCCAGCCCCTTTCTTTTTGAGCTAGAGTCCCAATACACAAACCCACTGAGCTGCTCCTGGGAAGAAGAAATATTTAAATCAACTCCTCTGCTGTGTTTAGCCCCACAGCAAACACTGGGGCATAGCACTTCTCATGAAAAGGTAAATTTTGTTCTGAGCTTGGGTTTTGGTTTTTTTCTCTGTTACTCAAAGGAAGAGAAAGGATTTACATTCACAGTCCTGCAGCATCACTTCCAGCACAGCCTTCCCAGCTGCAGCAGGAGCTTACCTTCCTCCTTGCCTGCACCTTCAGCCTTCAGCAGGAACATATCTGTATGCAGGGTGCCTTTGTCAACATCCTTCTTAATTCTCTGCAGAGAAGGGACAGACAGGGATGCTCAGTGAAACAGTTTCAGTGCCCAAAACACAGGAGGTCCAACTTTTCAAGGCCTAGAATAGTGGTATGGGTCATTTTGAACTCAACACCCCACAGGGGAAGGAAGGACCAAGGGAAGGACCAAGGTCCTGCCTTTTACTCTGCCACAGACAGTATCAGGAGCCCTCAAGGCACCAACTTCTCATCCATGCCTGTTTCTCTAGCTGTAGAAGAGTGCAGATAACCACTCTACCCAGCTGGCACACAGCAACTACCCACTCAGTCTGCAGGCCCCTCCAGGATTCTGCCCCTAGCACTGAGCAGAAGCTCCAAATGTCTGTTCTGTACCAAGGCCCAAGTTTAATCATGGATGTGTGCCTAGCACACAGACTTTCAGTGTCTGCCACCACCCCATCTCCATCCCCCCAAGAGAAACAGAGCTGACAGCTCTCTCTGCACCACAGCCCAACTCCTGATGGCATTTTTTTGATTTTTAGCATTGGGGGCCCTACAGAGCCTTGGGCAAGAGGTTTGGGGTTTTTTTTTTTCCTCCTAAACAGAAACAGAAGCCTCACTTCCACCTCTACTAAAGGCAACAGCAAGAGCAGGGTCAAGCCTCAGCTGGGGCAGTTAAATGCATCACTTGCCCCACGATTTTCCCTTGCTCCTGTCACTGCAAGCCCCTGCATCCCAGTGCTCTTAGCAACATGCAGCATGAGAGCAGCACTACACACCACTGTAGGAGGCCTTCTAATGGCATTATCCACCCATCCTTCATGCAGAGCTCCTGCTTCCTTGCATTCCCCTTCCTCCTAGGGGCAGCAGCATTGTTGTGCTGTGCAGCTGCCTCCAGGATGCAGGCAGAGGATCCCAGCAGAAGCTGGGAGGGTTGGGCTGAGTCCTCAGGAGGAGAGCAGGGCTTGGGTGGTCCTGAGAGGACAACAGCAGGGTGCTGTCCTGCCCTGCACCCCCACAGCCAGCCCTGCACCTCACACTCAACAGCTTTTGCTTTGTGTGGTGGCTGCCTAGCCCAGGATCCAGTCTCTAGGGTCAGTGTTAATCCTTGGACAGGCAGAAGAAAGGGTTTGCACAGCAGTGCTGTAAGGTGGATGATGCTGGGAGGCCCTGGGGAAGGCTGCTAGCTAGGTGCCAGAGGAAACTGGAGAACCCTGCTCCCAGTGCAGCAGGAAGGAAGCTTCAGTTGACTTGAGGAGCAGGGACCTTCTGTGGGGCTGTCCTGGGAATGGGGTTAGCCTGGGGCTGTGGTTCACAGGTTTTCTTGCTCTCCACCACACACCTAAGCGTGGCCACTAGCAAACTGAAGACACTCTTCAAAACAGGATGCCTACACTGGAGAGGTCCTCTGTGCAACCACTTCAGGGGAGTCAACAACTGCATTATTCCACCTGCTGTCCTTGAGCAACAGAACATCAGGCACACAAGGGACAGGAAGCCATCAGGAACAAGCAGCAGTGACAGCCCTGACCTTCAGAGTAAGAGGTTACCCAGGGATGACTCCTCAGCCCTGACACTTCTCCAGCACATGGAAAACAAGCAAGACAAGTTTTTGCACTGTGAGTAATTCTCAGGCACAGCTAGAGGAGCTCTGGTGTTGGAGATGGGGTTGGAGGGGCTGGGAATGGGCAGAACTTTGAACAGACACCTGTGAGAGAGCTGTGAGGGCAGGGAGAGAAAGAAACACCTTCTAGGAAAGGTCCTGTTAAGTAGAGGACACTGTTTCACAGCCTGTTGGTGCACACACTGTGGCATCTACAGCAGCAGCTCTCAAGTTCAAAGGGCTGTGAGTCACTGTGCTGAGCAAGAGCCATCCTAGGGCAGTGTCACACATCTCCAGCTCTCACACAAGCCCAGAGCAGCAGAAGTCACCCCTGAGCTGCAGGCTTTGTACAGTTGAGGTACAGCAGCCTCTGTGGTCTGTCCTTCACCTTAACAAACATCCAAGCCTCATTGGAGCAAAGAGCTGCCAGGGATGGATGGGCAGAGGGGAAGGAGAAGGGAAGTAGCCTTAGAATCACAGAATCATTCTGGTTGGAAGAGACCTTCAAGAGCATCAAATCCAACTGTTCCCCCAGCACTGCCAGGTCCCCACTGCCCCGTGTCCCTCACACCACATCTCCACGGCTTGGAAACCCCTCCAGGGGTGGGGACTCCACCACTGCCCTGGGCAGCCTGGCACAGCCCTGGGCAACCTTCCAGGGCGAGAAATTGTTCCGCAGCTCCAACCGCAACCTCCCCTGGAGCAACTTGAGGCTGTTTCCTCTTGTCCTGTCCCTTGTCCCTTGGGAGAAGAGTCCAAACCCCCCCTGGCTCCAGGCTCCTGTCAGGAGCTGTGCAGAGCCAGAAGGTCTCCCCTGAGCCTCCTTTGCTCCAGGCTCAGCACCCCCAGCTCCCTCAGCTGCTCCTCCCCACACTTGGCCTCTAGACCCTTCCCCAGCAGCTTCGTTGCCCTTCTCTGGCCACACTCCAGCCCCTCAAGGCCCTTCTTGGGAGTGAGGGACCCAAAACTGACCCCAGGATCTAGTCCTGCTGCCCACACTAGCACTGATGGAAGCTAGAATGCTGGTGGCTTTCTTGGCCACGTGGGCAAACGCTGGCTCATCTTCACCCAGCTGCTGACCAACACCTCCAGGTACTTCTCCCCTGGGCAGTTTCCAGCCACTCCTGCCCAGGCCAGGAGCACTGCAGGGGGCTGCTCTCACCCCACAGCACTGCAGCGAGCCCAGCGACTGCAAAGTGCCTGTCAGGCAAGAACAGAAATGGTGCTTTCCTCCTCCTCAGCCCCAGGAGAGCTGCAGTTTGTCCTGAAATGCCAGACAGAGCACACCTTCACGTGTGCAGGGGCACAGTCAGATGTGCAGAGCCTGCAAGGAAAGAGGGGAAGCAGCAAAGAGCAAAGGAGCAGGGGGCTTGGCTGCCACGCAGCCTGCGCAGAATCCCTGCGTTAGTTTCCTCCTGGAGCCCACGTGGCTCCCTGTAGTAAACACGCCCTGTGTGCAACATGAGAAAGCTTCTCAGGCTGAGAAAACCCCAAAGAGGTGGAGTGGGAGCTGGTTATTTGTTGTCACAGAGATGCCTGTTTACCCCAGCTTGGACAGGCTCAACAGCAGGCACCTCACCAGCGAGTGGCACAGGGGCACTGCAGAGATCAACCCCCCTGCAGCCAGGACACCCTCCTGCCCTGAGCACATCACTCCAGCAGCCACAGGAGGCTCCTGCTCTTGTTCCCCACACTGGCCTTGCCTTGAAGTTGCAGGTGTTTGCTTTCAAGCACTAAACTGGTTTGGAAATCCACAGCCTACTGTTGGCACACGCAGGTATGTTATTAGGGAGTTATGTGAGCTTTAGAGGCAACAGCTAAAAGAAAACCCAAACCCCAGCTCCACTGGCAGGAAGATGCCTCTTCACCCCCTTTCAAAGGGCAAGGAAACTGAGGCACAGAGAGCTGTTCTTGAGAAGGAAGGGGAATCAGGATCCCCTGTGTATAACGTGCTAAACATGTGTGATAAAAGATCCATGGTGGCAAAATACATCCAATTAGCAGAAGCCCTCAGCAGGCAAAACTACAGAGGGAACCAGTCCCACCAGACCCTGCAACTCAGGCAAACACCTCAGCCCTGCCACAAGCAATCTCCCAGCAGAATCCAGTTCAGCTTTGCAAAGCTTGCCATTAAAACCAAATAAAAATATTAAAAATGACAACCTTAAACCCCCAAGCCCCTCCATACTAGTCTCCTCTGGCATCCAAAAGCCTTGCATAGAGGTAACACCAGCCCTGCCACGGCCTGTAGGCTGCTTGCACCTGCAAGGTAGAGCAGTGCTAGCCTCCAGCACCTCCTGGCCACACTTGCTGTGCCAGCCAGGCACAGTGCTCACGTTGCCTAGCAATAGAGAGGTCTCTTGGCTTTATCCAGCCAAAAATGCAGCTGGCTGCAGCAAGCCCCATCCCCAGCATGAGGAACGGCCAAGGACACCTTTCAGACCAGCAGGAGAGCAAGGCTGAGCTGCCTGTGGGATTTTCAGGCACATTTTAGGCAGAGCTGACAACACCCACAACATCCCCTGCTGTAAGAGATCACACAAGTTGCCTTTCTCATTTCTAGGCTGAAGATGAAACAGGTGATCCCAGGGACATCTCCGTGCTAAGAATCGTGCATCTGAAAATATCAGGCATGATCCTGGCAGTTTGGGCACTGACAGCTCAAGTGAGTGGCCCTCAGGGTTGTAAAGCTCCTCTCCCACCATGTGCATCCTGGATGTTCAGCACTTGGTCAGCAAAATCTCCTGGCTGGCCCAGGCAAAGGCACGTCTGGGTACCAAGGGTCTCATCCTGGCTCTGTATACGAGTACTGGAGTGCCTCAGACAAGTCACTCAAGCTGCTCAGCCTCCACTTTCCCAGCCAGGAAGGAGTCTGGCTTACACAGGCTGCATGAGGGGAATTCAGCCACACAGACAGACACTGCTGAGAACTGACCCTCCACGCTCAGCTCTGCACCAGGCCCCAAAAATCAAAACAAACCAAACCCCATCTCTGCTCCTGCCTTCCCTGCCAACCAGGCTGAGGATGGGCAGACTGATCCCTTCATCAGGAGAACATCAGGCTGATCATCTTGCTCAGGCTTCCCCCAGCCCCAGCAGCCAGCTGGGCACACAGACACCCCCAGTTCCACCCACAACCACCAGCCTCCAGGGCTTACAGCTCCTTCTGCCCCTGGCAACGTGCATTACACCACACCACAGGGCTAGGCTGCTACAGCACTTCAGATTTTCAAGGGCTCAGGGGAGCACAGGATGCGAGGCAGCAGAACTGCCCAGCCCAGGGAGGCAACCATATCCTGCTGATACTAAAACAGAGGAGCTATGATGGTTTCCACTCCTCTTCCCTCCAAAATAATTCACAGTATATAGGTGCTTGGCCTCAGGCAGCCTCCACATAAGTCTGTCCCTTTTTTACAGCACATGTGCAACTTAGTCCTGCCTCTTATTACAAGAGAAGTCTCCATGTGACTTGGTGAATGCTTGGACTCCTGGCTGTTTTCATATGTAAAAATGCCTTCATATGTCCAAGAAAAGCCTTCATAGCACTCCTGAATGCAGCATCTACCTCTGACTGGAGACAAGGAATGGGTCTCCTCCTGTACCTGCCCAGCTCCAATTCAGTATTGTTTCCTCCACTGGCTACCTCTCATTTCTCCCAAGGGTACCCCAGCCAATGCCCCTGTGGGGAGCACACAAGCAAAACACACTTTCTTCAATTCAAAGTCAACCCAGAGAGACTCAGCTCCACAACCAGCTACAAGCAAAGCCAGGAAGAGGACTAAATAGCCCCACACTAATGAAATCGTGCTTCTCCTGGAGGGGCTAAAATGTTGTCGAGTTAAATTTTCAGAGGCATGCTGAAGGTTTGTTGCTTTCCACTCTTAAAGCTGCAGAGGAAATTCTGCCCAGCACTCTGGTCAGTTTGTAGCTTGGCTGC